GAGCGCCAATAGAAGGCGAAGGCAAGCCAGCAATAGGAGGAGCTGCTTATTTGTCCTGTATATGAATGGATATGGGTATGTATGTATATATATGTGTACGTATGCATGTATGTATGCTTTTATTTGCCACATTTAGGCAGATGTTTATTTCCCGCAGCTCTGCAAATAAAAAATGGAATAACTAAAATGTTGCCCTTCTATGCAATTCTCATAGATTTAAGTAATGCTCGCATGTCTAAACGATGTAGCTGTTTATATGTTCTCTATATGTGTGGATATGGGTATGTATGTGTATTTGCTTGTATGAAAGTAAACACAGTTAATTTCCTGGTAATTTTCTCGTGCTCTTACTCTAATCCGCTCGTTACTACTTTTGTTTTTTCAGGTGAATTGCTTGTATGAAAGAAATTCTCTCTCTACTAATGGAAGGTAATGAACTAATCGTGCAAGTGTGTGGGAATTTTCAGGTAAGTACACGGATTACTTCCTGTTGCACATAATGCCTTTAAGAAAGGCTAACCAAAGAAACAATATAATTTCAATATTCTTAATTTCGAAAAAAGTTCAAAAATACATTTGGGAAAAAATTAGTTTTTATTTGTACAACGAGCCAAACCTCTTGAAAATCGGATGAGTTTTGTCCGAGTAAGGGGGGTGGGAAATTATGACCTATGTCTACATAGGATATTTGAGGATACCAGTTTTACATGAATTTGGACCAAAAATAATGTTGCCATATTTATATACCAAATTGATCTAGAAACCAAACCATGGGAAAATAGCCAAACCTTGTGAAAATCGGATGAGATTTGGCCGAGTTATGGGGTGGGAAATTATGACCTCTGTCTATATAGGATATCGGAGGGTACCATTTATACATGAATTTGGACCAAAAATAATGTTGCCATATTTATATGCCAAATTGATCTAGAAACCAAACCATGGGAAAATAGCCAAACCTTGTGAAAATCGGATGAGTTTTGTCCGAGTAAGGGGGGTGGGAAATTATGACCTATGTCTATATAGGATATTTGAGGATACCAGTTTTACATGAATTTGGACCAAAAATAATGTTGCCATATTTTGATGCCAGATTGATCTAGAGGCCAAACCATGAGAAAAGAGCCAAACCTTGTGAAAATCGGATGAGATTTGGCCGAGTTATGGGGTGGAAAATTATGACCTATGTATATATAGGATATCGGAGGGTACCATTTATACATGAATTTGGACCAAAAATAATGTTGCCATATTTTGATGCCAGATTGATCTAGAGGCCAAACCATGAGAAAAGAGCCAAACCTTGTGAAAATAGGATGAGATTTGGCCGAGTTAGGGGGTGGGAAATTATGACCTATGTCTATATAGGATATCGGAGGGTACCATTTATACATGAATTTGGACCAAAAATACGGTTGCCATATTTTAATGCCAGATTGATCTACAGGCCAAACCATGAGAAAAGAGCCAAACCTTGTGAAAACCGGATGAGATTTGGCCGAGTTAGGGGGGTGGGAAATTATGACCTATGTCTATATAGGATATTTGAGGATACCAGTTTTACATGAATTTGGACCAAAAATAATGTTGCCATATTTTATGCCAGATTGATCTAGCCAAACCATGGAAAAGCCAAACCTTGTGAAACGGATGAGATTTGGCCGAGTTATGGGGTGGGATTATTACCTATGTATATATAGGATATTTGAGGATACCATTTTACATGAATTTGGACCAAAAATAATGTTGCCATATTTTGATGCCAGATTGATCTAGAGGCCAAACCATGAGAAAAGAGCCAAACCTTGTGCAAATAGGATGAGATTTGGCCGAGTTATGGGGGTGGGAAATTATGACCTATGTATATATAGGATATTTGAGGATACCAGTTTTACATGAATTTGGACCAAAAATAATGTTGCCATATTTTGATGCCAGATTGATCTACAGGCCAAACCATGAGAAAAGAGCCAAACCTTGTGAAAACCGGATGAGATTTGGCCGAGTTATGGGGGTGGGAAATTATGACCTATGTCTATATAGGATATTTGAGGATACCAGTTTTACATGAATTTGGACCAAAAATAAGGTTGCCATATTGTAATGCCAGATTGATCTACAGGCCAAACCATGAGAAAAGAGCCAAACCTTGTGCAAATAGGATGAGATTTGGCCGAGTTAGGGGGGTGGGAAATTATGACCTATGTCTATATAGGATATTTGAGGATACCATTTATACATGAATTTGGACCAAAAATAATGTTGCCATATTTTGATGCCAGATTGATCTGAGAGGCCACCATGAGAAAAGGCCAAACCTTGTGAAAAGGATGAGATTTGGCCGAGTTAGGGGGTGGGAAATTATGACCTATGTCTATATAGGATATCGGAGGGTACCATTTATACATGAATTTGGACCAAAAATACGGTTGCCATATTTTAATGCCAGATTGATCTACAGGCCAAACCATGAGAAAAGAGCCAAACCTTGTGAAAACCGGATGAGATTTGGCCGAGTTATGGGGGTGGGAAATTATGACCTATGTATATATAGGATATTTGAGGATACCATTTATACATGAATTTGGACCAAAAATAATGTTGCCATATTTTGATGCCAGATTGATCTACAGGCCAAACCATGAGAAAAGAGCCAAACCTTGTGAAAACCGGATGAGATTTGGCCGAGTTATGGGGGTGGGAAATTATGACCTATGTCTATATAGGATATCGGAGGGTACCATTTATACATGAATTTGGACCAAAAATAATGTTGCCATATTTTGATGCCAGATTGATCTAGAGGCCAAACCATGAGAAAAGAGCCAAACCTTGTGAAAATCGGATAAGATTTGGCCGAGTTATGGGGGTAGGAAATTATGACCTATGTCTATATAGGATATTTGAGGATACCAGTTTTACATGAATGTGGACCAAAAATAAGGTTGCCATATTGTAATGCCATATTGATCTACAGGCCAAACCATGAGAAAAGAGCCAAACCTTGTGAAAATCGGATGAGATTTGCGATTTGAGATTTTCACATTTGGCCAAAAATAATGTTGCCATATTTAGATGCCAAATTTATCTAGAAGTCAAACCATGAACAAGGAGCCAAACCTCGTGAAAATCGCAATTTGTATGGATGGAAGGAGGATACTGCGTAGGGGGATATTGATTCGGATGAGTAGGAAGATTCGGAGAATGATATTACTTGGTGGGATACGTAAGAGGATACGCTGTAGGAGGATACGCAGCAGCAAGAGGATGAGTAGCAGGCATATGCATGGGTGTAGGCTTTGCCGCAGGCGGGGACAACACAATTCCATCTAATTTTGATGTCAAATATAGTACACTTAAAATACTCTACTTGGAGCTGATCGGATAATATTAATCAATATATATCCTGCATTATAGTACCGCTCTAGTCAAATCAATCCGTTTGCCGTTCATTCTCTGACTCCCCAGCTATTTCCGCGTGCCCTTAACAAGAAAACAACAACAGAAATTGGTAAGAAAAACCCAGCTGATGCGTGTAAGGAGAGCGTGGCCATGGACGAGAAGCCTAGAGGCCTCTGGGCTGGCCGAGGTGAGCTGGCGACATATGTAGGTTGCGTTTTGTAGCTTAGAATCAAAGGCGGATCAGCGCAAATCTCTGTGATCTCTGGCGGCTCTGGTTAAGGCTCTGCTGCTTTTGCTGCCGCTGCCTCTGCCACTGCGATTGCTGCTGCTGCTGGTGCTGTCGGTTGAACACTTTGATGTCCTAATTGGTTTATTACTTTGTCGGCATCTCGAGTCTTCTTTGTGTTTTTGTGTTTTTTATTCTTTTTAATGCTGTTGCCTGTTTTATTTATTTCTTTATTTCTTTGGGTTTTCATGCGGCGGCAGCGCTGCATTGTGTAAAAAACGCGACCGTTGCGGCTCTCGAATCTCGAGCCGAGCTCCAGCCTTAAGCCTCCAGCCGGTGAGCACGCGCACAGAACAGGAACAGCAACAGCAATGGGATTGAGTCCAAAAGCATAAGCAGTACACCAAATACCGAACACACGCCGCCCGCCCTCCCCACCACCATACCCTATGCTTGTTTACAATGTTTCCGCGTGTGCGTTCAATCAACATGTTGCGATATCAGCGCAATTTGTCATCCCATAAACAACAATGCAACTCGGCTAAATGGGCCCCCTCCCTTCCCCCTATATCATATGCCAGGCGGGCAAATAATCGGTTGCAGAAAGACTATACTTATGCCTGGATACGATGCTCAACGAACAAAGGGAAGACCTACCTCAACCAGGTACATTGAAACTCTTTACCACAAGTCAGGTACGCACAATTTGTTTTTTTAAATAACCAAAATCTTTATGAGAGTTTTATTTTGTTACTACTTTTGCGCTCTTCACGCTTTTATTAACTTGTGTCAAAATGGAGTTATTTTTTATTTAATTAATTTGTTATTTTCTTGGGAAAATTTATAAAATTTTCATGAGAGATTTTTGAAGCTCCTCAATATTTGAAATTTTATATTTCCTTGTAATATTTATGAAGTTTCTTTATATTTAATTAATCTCTTATTTTTGGGATATTTCTTATCATTTTCTTGGGATAATTTTCAATTCCTCTATATTATTTATTTTCGAATTTTTTCTATATTTAATAATTTTCTTGGTGTACTTATGAAGTTCCTCTATATGTAATAAATTTTCTAATTTTCCTGGGAAATTCCCAGGATATATGATATTTTGAAAGTTCCTCTAATTAACTCTTAGATTTTCTTGGGATATTTTCGAAGTTTATCTATTTATAATTAATTTTATATTTTCCCTGGGTTATTTATGACGTTTCTCGGTATTTAATTAATTTTCTAATTGTCTTGGGTAATTTTTTACAATTTTTATTAAGATATTTTTGATGTGCCTCTATATTTTATAATTTTCTTTGGTTTTTTGGCATATTTATGAAGTACCTTACTACTAGTTAATAACTAAATACTAAAAGCCTTCTCAGCCCTGTCGTTTTTGTGACTGCTGACGCTTGCGCTGCTGGCGCTTGCGCTGCTGACGCTTGCGCTGCTGACGCTGGCGCTTCAGTTTCTTGAGCTGAAGCTTGATTTTTAGAAGGCGTAGCGTATTACGCAAATATTCCGGCGATATGGTAGAGTTTGTGGTGACAGCGCTTCCGGTGCCTGAGCTTGAAGTCCCTGTTCCTGTTGGCGATGTAGCCGGATCAGAGTACTCAGGACTCGAATAGGATTGACTGCCGACCCGCTGTGCCAATAATAGGCAGCTGAGCAGTACAAAAAGTAATACAAAAGTCAAACGCATTGTAACAACCGAGTGCTAAATCTAACTAAGCCTAAGTTAGCCAGCCAACTTATATAATAACAAGATAGAACAGCTGCTGTTTGTGGTATTTACTGTACTCAGGTGTTTTTCGTTTCGGCTTATGCTTGCAGCGGAAGGAAGGTACTTCCGATCCAACATCAAGTTCACAAGCTGGTATTATGTCAATATTTGTCAGCCGATCTGTTTGTGCTGGATGTTGTGTTTCCGGTAAAGCAAAACCCACACAATAATATTTAAAATGTTTATAAAGGTTATGGAAATTATAATGCAATGGAAATTATTGGGTAATGGAGATTATAATGCTGTGAATGGAAACCAACTAAAACATATATAAATTAGAAAGTGTTTTTTTTTTGGTATTCAATCACTTTCTAGTCTCTAATGCTGGGAAATTTAAAGGTATATACTGTTATGTGTACTAAAACCAAAAAAAAGAATTTTATTATTCTTTGGCATTGCCCTCTAAATTTCTAGTTGGTTTTCGTACGTGTAAGCCATTTTTAGGTGATTTTTTAAGTAGAGTCTTTTGTATTTCTTCGCAAATGCACGTTAATCTTTGCTCTTACAATCCAAAGTAATAAACAATTATAAGCTATTTTATCGAAGAGTATATTTTAAATGCAGTTCTCAGTAGATGAATCTGCTAAGTGACCCAGTGATCAGTTCAGTCAGACGAATGAACAACGAATATCCGGGCTCGGTTATCAGGCTGACTTAGCATTATCTTAGCCGTAGCCTAACGTATCCTTTGCCATCTAATATAGTTAGCTTAATAGCTTTAGTAATAGTTTAAATAATATATTTTAAAAGCCCTAAACACATTTAATAGATAAAAAAAAGTGTATTTCAAAGAAGATAATATCTTCTTTTCTTGAAAGTAGACATGAACAGCATGTCAAAGTCTCCGTCTAATACGATACTTAGATGTCTTAGACGGAGAAATTGAAATAATATTCATATATCTATCAGAGCTACAGACAAAAGTACATTGATTGAATTTACCCTTTCCATTTCATACAAATATCTTTAGCTAATCCCAATAAGAGATTGGAGATAAGAATTATACACAAAATTTCATGTTTTATTTTGTTTTGTATTTATTATTTATTTTATTATAAAAACATTTGAATTATTTTACAATTACAAAGTTTCGTTTCGCATTTGGCTTGAGGCCTGCTCCATTTGGCTCAGCCTCTGCGCCTGCGCTGCTGCTGCTGGCGCCTGCGTCGCTGCTGTTTGCGCCTGCGCTGCTTGCGCTGCTTCTGCTTCTTCTGCTTCTTCTGCTGCTTTTGCTGCTGGCGCCGGCGGCGCTTCAGCTTGCGACGCAGGGCGCGTAGACGTGCGGCTGTGTTGGATGTGCTTGCTGCTGTCGTTGTAGTTGTTGCTGTTGTTGCCGCAGTTGTTGCTGCTGTTGTTGTTGTTGCCGCCGCTGCTGTTGTAGGCGCGGCTGTTGCTGCTTCTCCTGCTACTGTTGTTGACCCCGTCTGAGCCTGGACCTGAGTCAGGCAACAAACTAGGCAGCAGATTACGAGAAATGCCAAAGCGAAACGCATATTGAAGCTTGTTGTTACTCAGCTAATGCCCAGGGCTTTATATATCGTCTGGCTGATTGGCTTGGCCATGTAATGTTTGTGATATACAAGCTGTTACCTTATGGACTCAGGTGTTTTCAGGTGGTTTTTTCGAGCACTAAAAATGCAGAGTACGAAAAAGTTAGTTGAATCAATATTGTCTGTGTATTCTTGTGCGTAATCATAACAATAGCAGGTCTCTTTTTTATTTGGAATTAATTCCCAATCAATACCAGATAAACATTTAAATTGTGTATCAAACCTTAAGGTTTTTCTCTAGTTAACGTCTCCGAACCAAAAATTGCATATTAATTAATAGATTCATGCGGTAAGCTCCACCCGCCTTCAATAAGGCGATGCAAATTCATGAGCATGCCAAAGCTGCCACAGAGTCGGCAGCAGGCGATGTGGCAATGTTGCAGCACTCAATCAACATGTTGCGATATCAGCACAATTTGTCATCCTATAAGGAAGAGCGCTCGGTGCGCTTGCTGCGCCGTGGCTGCCACACAGAGCCAGAGACAATGTTAACCGAAAGTCTCACATCTCGCATCGGGCATGTCGCAGCTCTTGGCAGCTCTGGCCCGCTGTGCCCGGTTCGTACGGTGGTCCTGTCTGATGTTTGCCGTATTCAAAGCATAAGAAAACTCAATCAAGGGGCTCGTAAATCTTGGCACAATTTGATGAGCGCTCTGTGGGAGACCCGTCTGCAGTGTCCTCCACTCCCTCCCTATCCCTGTCTCCGTCTCCGTCTCTGTCTCAGTCTGCGGCTCGTGTAAGAGGTCTTACATTTCTCGGCTTATTGATTATCAATGCTGGTGCCGCGTCGGGGACCATTTCCGATTCGTCATCATGCGACGAGTGAAGTTTCAATCTGCTCCGAAATATATATAAAAAACTAAAATATAAAATAAAAGAACACTGATGTGCGCCGTGTGTGGCGCGTTCTGAGTGTTTTGACAGCATGACACACATACGCACACACGCACACGCATGCAGTTGCCAGTTGCCAGTTCCACCTAAATTTGATGCAGCACAAGCCCAGGCGACGACGATCACAGTCAACTTCAAAAGTGTGCGGCTGAGCGTTATTGATCGTCCATGTCCCGCTGTTGTGATCCGCTCCCAGCGTGAGACATTACAAAAGGCCCAGTGATGGTAACAATGCCGCTCGTTGTCGCCGCTGCAGTTGTCCATAATCTACACACGCACACACACACACATGCACACGGCCGGAGTCGGTCCTTTTGAAGGTCCTTTTGGCCAAAGTTCTCGAACTCACACACACAGCCGCAGTGCTTGATGCGCTGCATATGCAAAACACAATGAAGTTCTTTGAAGCGCGGCGCGTCAGGTAAGCGACAATTATTTATCTTACAAATTTACCTGAAATTAAATACTTACGCTGCAACAACAAGCGACAGGCGGCATTACCACCCAGGTTGATACCCTGTATATGGCAGAGAGAAGTTAGCTTCACATTAAGATGTTCTAGACATATATCTTTACCTCTCATCACTGGAAGTGGGCCATCAGCTGTCTGTTAAACACATTTCCCTTAGTTACACATACCCAATTTGTGCATATGTTTACAGGGCAACGAAAGGGCGACAAATTCCCCCTTTTTAATCAGCGGCACGCACTTTGATCACCTGAGACACACAGTCACATAAACGCACACACACAAGGCCGCCGCTTGTTGCCGCAGTTTCAGTTTCAGTTGCAGTTGCAGTTGCAGTTGTTGTGGGAACTTACCTGGCCACAAGGTGTGACAAGTCAGCGGATTTGCGTGTTTTCCTGCGAAATATTTAAATGCAAGATTATCGGCCAACAGGCAAACGGCAACAGGCAGCAGGCAACAGCGGCAACTGTTGGCAACAAAAGGCTCGCTGACTTAATCCTGCGGCCTGCCCTTTTGATCTGCTTCTGCAGCCTGCCCAGCCCGGGCCTGGTTTAGAGCGTTAACTAATTAGCAGCTGGACTGGCATTCGGCTCATTTCCGCCACAAAACAATTTCGATTAAGGCAAACTTAAAGCAAAAAGCTACCGACAACTAATCCAATCATAATCGCGCAATCATAATTACAACAATCTTCCAAATGAAACGCAGCCCCAGCCCCAAGACCAAGACAAAGACCGATGATGATCGAAGCGGCTGGCGACTGGCCAACTGTGGCCAACCTAACGGGCACAAACGCAACCTACAGAGCTGGCCAGAAGAGCCAACATTGACTTCTATTGCTGTCGGGGGCAACTGCAAACAGCAGCAGCAGAAGCAGCGGCAGCAGCAACAACAACCGACAACAGGTTGCTGCTGCCTGAAGTGCTTCGTGGCCAGACAAACGTTAAGATTGTAATAACCATGTTAAAAGCAATTTACGTTTAAAGTGCTACTGTGATACGCCGCCGATACGTTTCTTGATTAAGAACCAGAGACGCGAGCGGAGAGCTGGCACACACACTGGACAGTAAGTAGAAGGCTGCAGGAGCTGCCTTGTCTGCTCGTCTGCATTTATTTGGCGGCAAAAGTTGTTTTTTTTTTCTCTCTTCGAACTTTCCTTTCATATTCACAGTCCACTTAACACGCGCGTCGCACAATGCGCCTCAAAACACAAATGAGCAGCAGCAGCAACTGTTGTTGTTGTTGTTGTTGTTCTTGCCCCAACGGTGGCGGCAGCCTCAGAAATCTGTGCCTCTGTCGGCGCGCTTTGATGTTGGGAATGGCGTGTGCCCAATGCAGAGATTCCGCTTTGTTGTTTTGCCGACGCCAGCGACGTCGTCGTCGTCGTCGTTCGTCGGGCATGCAACAGCAATTTGCCGCCAAGTGAGCCGCAGCGAGCGTGGAGCGTGGAGAGCATTCGCAAAAGAGAACAACAGGCAGATAGAGAGCGAGCGGGAGAGAGAGACGCTGTGCTGAAGAGCGAAATCCACTCAGCTTCCAAATAATCCCAGTTCCCAGGCCAGACTCTGCTCATTTTTGCCGTTATTTTTTTTACGTTATTTCAACAGGTAAAAAACTCATTTTGGCACGGAAAGAAAAGCTTGCAAGTGCCGAAATCCCTGCTAGATTTTATTTGGCATCGATTTGCCAAATTTACATAAGTTTGACTTACATAAGTTTGACAAAATCTAATCGATTTTTATGCTTGATGGCATTTTATTTATGGTTTTTTCTCTAGCTTGATTCTACATTTTCTATTTTCAGATATAACACTTAACCTTTATACATTTTCAAGGTATCCTTAGTAAATTCCCTTCATAAGTTTTGATTATACAAAATTTGTGAAAACTTCACAAATTTTTATGCTTAGTGGCCCTTTTTCTTTTTTCTCTCTCTCTCTCTCTCCCTTGTTCTCTAGATTAGTTCTGCATTTTATATTAACAAATTTTTGAATTCATAAAGAATAATATAAATGGGATGCATTTTTTGGAGAAAAAATAACTCTTTTAAAATGTAGAATTCCAAGTTTCTATTTCAATTAAATTTTTTTAAATCAAGGTATTTTTTTACTTTATAAAAAATTATTTCCGAAGCCCTTCAATTTTGAACTTTCATGACTATTTCAAAACCAAACATATTTCCATGCTTGTGCGCATGTTGGGACCGACTTCTCCCCTCAATTATTTCTCTATCTATTCATAAATCGAGCCCCCCTTTGGACTTTAATCTTTCATAAATTGTGGGCATCAAGAAAACATTCTCAGATGGTTCATTCTCTTTGACTCTCCTCTAAATAAACTCTCCTATGCTCAGTTTCATGTGGCAACAGCTCAAAATGTAGTCGAGAGCAATGCAATTATGATGATAATCTGTTTAAATTAGAGCTGAAGAGCTGCAGAGCTGCATGGCTGCATGGCTGCATGGCTGACTGCTGTAGGTACGTCTGTGGTCGCTGTGTGTAGCACCTGTTGCTTTTCCCACACATTGTTGCAGTTTGCAAATCGGCAGCTGCAACGGCAACAGCAACAGCGACAGCAACTGTTGCAAGCAGCAAAGGATCAAAGGCAGTTACCGTAACTCCGAATCTGAGTGTGATCCGTTAATAAAGTTGTGCGTATTAACTGAAATTTTAATTGCTTATCGAGCGCGACCTGGCTAGAGAAAGGGATCGAAGACGAAATAGAAACAGGCAGAGAGAAAAATAGAGAGATAGAGAGAGAGGGGAGAGGGATAAATTTGAGTGTGTTCAGTTTGTGCCACGATTGATGTCAAACGCTGCGACTGCGGCAACTGCGACTTTGAAGATTATGCCGAAAGTTATGATGATAGCAGCAGCAGCCGCAGCAGCCGCAGCAGCAGCAGCAGAAGTGGCGGCAACTACGCGGCTCCAGGTGTTCTGGCCTAGCATGCGAAATTATATGGCTCAGTGGCAGCAACAGCAGCAGCTTTAACTACGCAGTGGCTGCTTCTTCAAGCACATCATGAGCAGCAGCAGCATGTTCATGATCATGATCATCATCAGCTGCTGCTGCCGCTGCCGCTGCTGATGCTGGCGTCGCTGGGCAGCGCGGCAAAAGATGAAAGGTGGCGGCAACACTTTGATGCGGCCAAGATCAAAGCTGCCGATTGTTTACATAATAGTGGCCTTTGAAACGGAACAATAGAATGCCAGGATCAAAGACACCGACCGGTTAGTGCGCTTAAGCGAAATGAATGTCCATGTCCCGCATCAGCGAGGGGCCAACGCAACGCAACGGCAACGATCATCTGTTTCTCCTGCTGCTGCTGCTGTTGTTGTTGTTGTTGGGCAAAAGTAGCACTCGTCTTCATCATGATCATCCTCTCGGGCAGAAGACATCATTATGCTCCGCTTTCAAATTGTGTGCAAGTCGTGTGCGACTCTTGTAATTGTTGCAGCCGAGTTACGGCCCATGCCCCGCTCCACCCTCTTACCTTCTTGTTCCGCTGCTCGGTGCCGGGCTCCCTGCTGATTGCGCGTTAAATGTTTATGGGCATTCATCGCGTGCTGTTCGGCGGCGTTTTAATTGCCCCCAATGCAGCAGCAGCCGCAGCAGCAAGTGCCACACGGTGCGTATGAGCAATGCGAGCATCCAATAATCTCCAGAGATGTCGCCGCATAATAATTGCGTACGCGGACTCGTACTTAATGCAAAATTATTGCAGCGCCTTTCCAATTCTCACTTTCAAGTTTGCCGACAAGTTGTTTTTTTTTTTTCTGTGTTAAGCATTTTATATTTCTCCTTAGGCCTACAAATTTCTCTATTAAACAAACGATCAACGCTGGAAAATAAAATTAATTCTGTCGGCGATAAAAAAAAATTAAGAAGAAAAAAAAACATTTGCAAAATACAATTTTATGGCTACCAATTCCATGAGCAGTTAAAATCAAGTATGCGGCGTTGAAAGATCGTAAAAGATTGAAATATTTCGATTTCGATTTCGGCAACGGCGCTATATCAAAGCCAAAGATATTTTTGTTTTTAATGATCGGTCATTAATTGAATTTCGTATAGAAATGGAAATGAAAATGCGTGGCAAAGGGCCGCGGAGTCCCTGTTAAAAAAATTAAGTTTACAAAAAAAAATGATACCACATGATTTCTCCCGTATTTCGGCAGCAATTTCGTATGGGAATTAAACGTATTTTTGTAGATTTACAATTAGATAAAGTCGCTCGACTGACTACTTTATTGAGATTTTATGTGCTTAAGCCGCCGTCCCACATATTCCACAATATGTCCCAGGGCCACGGCGAGCCGGGCTATTTCCAAGAAATGCCGCGCGATCATAAAACACAAAAATGCGGCGCATTTAAAAACATAAAAAGAAAATATATGCGATGCGCGAATTATTTGAGCTGGCGGCGATCTGCAGGCGAAGCGATCCTGAGCGCAGCATAAAACGTAACTGCATTCAAAATTGCAATTACACTAAATTAGCATTAAATATGCATTAAAGTGCGACAAAAAAAAAGGCAATAAAACAAAAGACTTAGGCAACGAACTCGGCCAGCGAAAAAGATGGCGAATCGAAAACCAAAAACAGAAATCCGAAAAAAACAAAAAAAAAAACAGAAAAAACCAAAACCGAAACGAAAACCAGAAGCCATTTCGGCTTTCGATTAAGCAGATCAAAGGCGCTGATAAAAGCGGCCATAATCGTAAGACGATTATTAACAAGTAGCCGACGTCAACGGCAGCGTCGCTGCCCACGCCAACGCCGGCGTCGACGCTGGCTGCGCTAGCTGTCGAGCGAGCGAGAGAGCGCTGCGCTGGGCGACGCGACGCGCATAATTCTTTCAAATTGCATTGCCTTGCAGTTTATTATTAGTTTTGTTATTATTTTGCGTATTCTAAACAAAAACGAAGACCACGCCGAGCACGCCAGGCGGGCGGGCGGGCGAGCGAGAGAGCGCGCCAGCGTGCGAGAGAGTGCGATAGCGTAAGAGAGCGCACACGTGAGTCGCAGTTGGCAGCGACGCCGCCGGCAACGACGCCAACGGCGACGGCGACGACGACGCTGGCAAAGAGCGACAACAAGGCAAGGTAAAAATTTCATTCCGTTTCGAGCATTCGACGTGTGCGGACGTGTACCATCAAGTGTCTTCCCAGTCTCAACTCACGCTCACGAAGTCGTGAAACGGGCGTTAAAAGTGTTTGAAAACAAAATCAAATGAATAAAATAATCAATAATTCCAAATACATGTGTATCGAATGAAAAGCTTTTATCGAGTGCATTGCAAAATATTGTTAAATATTTTATTTTTGTCAGAATGTGCAGCAATAAACATGCAGTGCTGCAAAATGTGCATTGATCTTAAACAGTGCTGAACAACTTGTTAACTGAGCAAAGCATTTGCCGCAACTAATTAAAGGCTACAATCATAATCGTTTATCATTATCATCATATATGAGCCATGGCAGTTGTTCGGCTACAAAATATGCCAGTCGCCGCAAATAAATGGATTAAATACAACAGCAGCAGCAGCAGCAGCAGCAGCAGCAACAACAACACACACAAGCAGGTGAGTTTAACCACTGAATTTATTGGCTAAGCCATACGGTAGCCCCAGCAACAACAACGAGAGCAGAAACTTATGAAAGAGGGCCGCAAATATCAAAAGTAGCCGCTCGAAAGAGAAAAAATAACAGGCCAAAAACAACAAAAGTCAGAAACGAAAAATCAGTAGCACGTCAATTAAAATTAATAGCTTCCGACTTAAGCCGCCCCAATCGAGTTGACCGACAACAGCAACAACAACAACAATAACAACAACAAGGAAAACCCTCTACAGCTTTATTTACGACATTAGCATATCGCAGAAATCGAAATCAATTTGAAAATCCTTTGCAAGGGCATTAAAAATGAGCTTAAAAAATTTGCCTGCGTGCGCAAAAAGCCAAAAACAAAAATAAAAGTTACCAAAAATAAAAATGCAAACAAAACAAAAGCCAAAAGGCCGACAGAACGCAGCGCACTGCGAGGGACTTTTTAAGTATAGCTAACCAAAAACCCTCATCAGCAACAACAGCAACAACAACAACAACAACAACAGCAGCAACAACAACAACAAAGTGCAGGCCGCTTTCGTGCGCTCCACTTCGCTTGAAGCCACAACAACCACACATCCCCAGCTCGAGAAGAGTGCCAGCTTTCAGCTCGCGGTCCCCGATATATAGCCTCCATATAGCGTATAGAGTAGTTGGCTACTGTTTTCAGAGTTAAGATCAATGAGTGCGACGACTGCCTTTGGGTAGACGCTCGCTCGTACGTTCGTACGTTCGTAGGCCTGGCCCGAACTGGTTGGAGATCTGCTTTGCAACATGCCGCAAAGCGGCATTGGCCATCGGGCCATCGGGGCGGCAAAGTACAAAGCCGAAAACGGCACGGGTTTAGCGCGCTCAGAGTAAAAAGCGATCAGCGTTGCCGCTCGGCAGACGTGCGCACATCCCACAGATACAAAGATATAAGCACACACACACACTCACACGCACACACACGGCTGCAGCCGGGGCCGGTCTAATAACGCTGCCTGGCACTTGGCTACATGTTTTAGGCCGCGGCTTCGGCTTTTGTTGTTGTTGTTTCCGCTGTCGCTGCTTGCGGCTTCATTTGAGGCTGCTTCCGAATTACCTGCGTGGCATTGCAGTTGCCACAGCAGCGACAGAGGCAGCGGCAGCCGTTGCGTTATTTCCATGCCATAAAAAGTATTAAATTGCTGCAAACAGGTGTATTTTATGAATGCCTCCGCATCAGGTACTTGGCCACAGGCTTCATGTAGACAGCCAGCTGTAGGCAGAGCAGGGCCAGACAGGGAGGCCAGTTGTTGCTCACGGTGCAATTATGTTGCCTAGACGCCGTATGCTAAAGGTGCAAATTCTAAGACCAAAAAAACATTGAGGTCAGTTCAGGCGAGACTTCAATTTGGGATTTTCCGCTAGAGAAAAAAGGTTGCCTCTATTTAGCTAGAAAGGTGTTATAAATCTAGATGATGCAGTTGTTGGTAGATGGGTTATCTAAGTGAAAAGCAGTCGAAAAGCACTGTAGAGAGTGCTATTTAAGATATCCTAAACTTATAAAATCAACAAGAAGTCTTGTTTATCTCTAGCTGACATTTTCCAAACTTTTCTTAATAGTTTTCTCAGCCCCTCCAACTGTTGCTCACAGTTTCCAAGCATTTCATTTTATTTATGAATAAGTTGAGCAGCTCCTGGTATCCATTTGACGATCTAGTTAGAAGAAATACCAAACCCTCAGCTGATAATAAACTATGTCTGCGCAGCTTCCCTTCAAATTCAACGGCTGCTTCGACTGGTTTTTGCATTTTGCGCGCGTTTTTCTTGTTGTCTTCTTCATTTTCGCTGGCAGCGACGTCGCCGTCGACGCACGCAACTCAAACAAACTGGCAACAACAATATGACAAACAATAAACAACAACCAAAAACAACGGCAACGGAAGTTTATTTATGCCTGGCCCGCTATTTATTTAAGCGTACGCGATAAGCCGCGTGTGACAGAGATAAAAGAGAGTGTGTGCGTGTGAGCGAGAGAGAGAGAGAGAATTGTTTAGTTGTTGCTGCTGTAGCAGCAAGTGCTCTTGCTAATGAGTTGATGCAACGCGCGGGGGGGGGGGGGGGGTGTTAAAGGAGCAAAAGCAGCCGCAAAGGCAAATCATAAATAAAAATAAAAATAAAAGCCGCACCGCAGCACTTCACTTCCGTCCCCTTCGCCCATCGCGGCGCAGTTACAGGCCGAGTGCGCGCGCCGCTCGGTTCCTTTGATTTGACAAGGTCGTTATTGATTATGATGCATTTTTTACTGCTCACACGTGCGTGTGTGTGCTGGTATGTGTGAGTTGTAAATGGCGAGGAAAAACTAGTGCAGCAAAGCAAAAGCCAAACACATTTAAGGTACAAAACAAATTATTAGTCAAAAAAGATTATTGTGTAATTTAAGCTGCAAACGATTAGGACTATCGATAAACGGAAAATCTGCAGTATATCGATTCATAAACATAAAAAACTAAGAATTTTAAAATGAATAAAAGCAAATGCATTTATACTCTACCCTCGACTGACAAACGTTTTATGGGATGTTAGTTTACTAGCTTCAATTCTCGCTTTACAACACTTTCAAAAACCTATCAAAAACATATTGTTATCGATAAATCAAAGGAGTCATAAGTTAACGTACATACTTATATATTTATCAAAAACCCAAAGATTATAAATAATTATTTGCCATAAAAAGTTGGCAAATTTTCAAATTGTAAATAATTTAACTCACTTACCACATGACATTTAATAGTAGTATAACCTGTAAAAGCCTAATTGCATTACAATTAAGACACACACACACACACTCACACACACAGTCGCAGTATTCAGAAGCAAATCAAATTTATTCAAGTCAGCACGGGGCGTATGCTTAATGTTTAATAAAAAATGAATAAATAAGAAAAACCAAACGCTTAGCGCCAGCGCCAATGACTGGTAGCAGCGACAGCGACTGAGGCAGAGACGCGTAGGCAGAGAGCGAGAGAGGCTCAGAGGGAGAGAGAGACAGGGACAGCGCCACTTGACTATTTGCAGCAATTAATAAAAACTGACAATTTAATCGTCGCGACAAGTAGTTGGCTGCCAGCCAGCCCCCAGACAGAGCAGCCGCCTAAACTCAAACTGCCCGACTAGAGGCAGATTGAGTGTGGTGCGGTGCGGTGCGGTGCGGTGGGGCGGGGCGGGGCTGGGCGCCTTTGTCGGCGTTGCTGGCCGCAAGAAATCGGAATACAGGCAACTGGAAAGAAAGACAACAACAAAAACAAAAACAAAAAGCAGAAAAGAGTCGCTACAAGCCAAAAGCAAAATATTAATAAGCAGTGCCCGCAATTAATAGCGCAACTTAAGACGCTATATAGGGTAATTAAGCGGCGCTTGTGAACATTTTTTCCTTTGCCGGAGCCGACGACGGCGACAGAGCAGCTGCCGCTGCTCTTGTTGTTGCTGTTGTTGTCGCTGTCGGCGCTGCCGTTTTTTCTCTTAACAGGTAAACAACAAGTGCAATGTACGCTCGAAACTACGTATCTCTATCTCAGTGCCTACATTTGGATCTGTGAGTTGCTTACGAGTGTGTGTGTGTGTGCGTGTGTGTGCGTATGTTTGTCAATGTGGGCACGCGTTTTGTTTACTCAAGCGTAAATCCGCGCACACACGTAATTTTGTTACTTTTTTTTTTATTTTGTGGGTCGTGGTTAACATTAGAAGATCGTAGGCGCAGCCCCCAAGCTAAATCGTCAAGCATAGCTATAATCGAGGGTCGTTTGTGAAGTAAGCCAAACAACTGGCAAGTCAATAAAAACAACTTCATAATAAAATCCCACTCTATCTATCCGTCTGTTATAGACAAAATTTTTGTCAGATGTTTGACAAAAGACATAAAAAAAATAAATAAAATTATTTTTTAATTCAAATTCTGTTCATATTTAGCTTATGCTGCAAGATTACGGAATTTTGAATTATTTTAACTATGGTAGAATATTCAACTTTAACTTTTGTTCTTGCCTAAACACTATTAAATAAGTTATTTGTAAATATTAATTTCCCTATATATATTTAAAAATGAAAAGGTCGCCAAAGCCAGCATTAAAATAATTCTAAATATATTCATCGCTTTTAAGAGTCTAATTAATAAATTTCTAGAAATTAGTTTAACTGTTTAAATCAGTTATTTATTTAAATTCGATTATTCAACCTTCTCAAACCATTGCTAACTTATTGAACAGCTCTCGCAGAGTTCGCTCTAGCGTTAGAATTCTTGTCAATTTGTTAAGCGGCGAACATCAGAGAGTTTTTTTTGTTGTTTTTTGTCTTTTTTTGGTTTCTTGAGTTTTGTTGGCAGCGGGGGAAGGCCCCATAACAGACGCGCTTTGACAGGCAGCAATCAAAACGGCAGCGATAGCAAAACTGAAAACTGATTGAAGAAAAGTCGTTCAATTTTCGTGCAACAGCAACAAGAGGAGCAGCGGGATCAGCTTAAAGAATTCGACTTAAAGCTTTAGCTTCGAGCTTAAAACTCAAAGCGCTCGACTTAAAGCTTCATCTTCCAGCTTAATGCTTAAAGCGTTCGACTTAAAGCCTTAGCTTCCAGCTTAAAGCTCAATGCGTTACCGTTACTCGCATTGCCGCTGGTCAAGTTCGAACTTGTTGAACAACTGGCCAAGTCTGATGTGTGTGTGTGCGTGTGTGTGCCCATAATTGTTCTGGCCGTTTGTAGGCCTCCGCTCAAATTGTCCGTGTCATTTGCATTTTGTCTGCAAATTGTCGTTGCTAGAGGCAGCGACTGCGGCGCGCAGCGGCACAACTTCAAAGCCAAAATAAACATTGATTGAAGATTTCTTTACGATTTCTGAATGGTTATTTATGCGGAGACAGCGGCGCAGACAGGCGGACACAATTGACAGACTGACACACTGAGACACTAAAATCGTTGCCTTTGACTCGTTGTTGTTGTTGTTGTTGTTCTGTTGTTGGCGGCACGCGTTTTGTTGTTGGCATTTAGTTGTTTTTGTATCATTTACAAATTGCTGGAAAATAGCGTAAAATCAAAACAACAGCAACAGCAACAACAACAACCACAAATCGCCGCTGCTCATTTGATTGATGTGCACAGCCGACCTTAAGTTCAAAGCCAAGAACAGCAACAACAACAACAAAAACAAAAAGCCAAAACTGAAACAGAAACAGACGTCGACGTCGGCGTTGACGTCGACGCCAACGCCGCTGATTACCACGCGTCAGCGGCCATGACAATGTGAAATCCAGATGTGTGTGTGTGTGAACCCGAACCCACGAGGCGCATGAACAATATAAATGATTTGTGTATGTAATAACAGAATAGTTCTTTATGTTTGACTAAATACTAGACGTAACTGTCTCTCTCCGATCTACACCCTCCCGCTCTCACTCTCTTTCCGCACTCTCTGCTCTGCTCTGCCATGTAGCTAATGCGAACAGCAAACAACAACAAACAGTGCACAACGTAAAACAATAACAACAAAAACGTAACGAAATGCGCGGCAAAAATATCTTTGATCTTATCGCAAAGCTTCTTGCTCGCATTTTGATCAAAGCAATTTTTCCGCCAAAATACAAAGGCAACAACAACAACAACAGAAAACCACAAGAGCAACAGGCGGCCGCAGCATGGCAAACTGAGAGAGCCACAGCAAGGTAGAGAAGGACAGAGAGAGAGCGAGAGAGCGCGCGCACGCTGTTATTACGACGACAACAACAAAAAGTTGTGAATGAGTTGTGAGTTGACACACAGTGTCAGAGAGAGAGAGGTGGACGGAGGGTAGTGAGTGGCGCGGTGTGTGCCTAAACAGAGCCAAGTGCAGCTTTAAGGCGCGCTCTCAGCTGGCGTAAAAGCTACTGCAAGTGTTTATTCATAAGATAATTGAGCATCAACGAAAGCTTTACTTGAGCTGGGCACAGCGATCTTAAGTTATAGGATAAACCTCTTTGTGAGTGCGTGAGCGCGATTGCTACTCTATATGGTAGACGTTTAATGCGATTGAAGGATTTGCATCAAAGAATTGAGTAATAAATATATAGCTTTATCTGAGCTAAGCACAGCGAGCTCAAGTTATAGGATAAACCCAAATATAAGAGCGTGAGCGCAATTGCTACTGAATTTGACGTGTGTTTAATGTGGGTGTAAAAGTTTAAAATAAACGAAAGCTTTACCTGAGCTAGGCACAGCGTGCTGAATTTATAGAATGAACCTCTTAGGGAGTGCGTGAGCGTAATTTCTACTCTATGTTTGAAGATTTGGAAGTTCAATTTTGGATTTGATCTCTTGCAGACGAGAACGACGACGACAACGCAATTGCGCTGCCAGTTGACGCTGTTGTTGCCGCTGATAGCACTCTGCGTATTGCCGCACGCCAGCAGCAACAGCATTAACAGCAGCAGCAGCAGCAGCAACAACAATGGCAACGCAAATATACAATCATTTGGCGAGGCCAAAACGCCTCTGGAACTGGAACAGGAGCAGGCGGATGGACATGGCAATTCGCTGAACATGATACAGCGCAACTACATGGTCATGCATCCGGCGGGTGCAGCGGCCGCGGGCAGCGCTGCTGTCGAGCACAGCGATCACAGCCGCTCGCTGAAGCGCGCCTCGCTGACCAACACGAGCATCACCTGCAACGATGGCACCCACGCGGGCTTCTACCTGCGCAAACAGCCCAACTCGAAGAAGTGGATTGTGTTCCTCGAGGGCGGCTGGCACTGCTTTGACAATCGGTCGTGCCGTGCGCGTTGGCTGCGACTGCGCCATCTGATGACCTCCTCGCAGTGGCCAGAGACACGAGATGGTGAGTTCCCGCGACGAATCCCTGTTGCTTGCAGCCTCAGCTAACGCCTCTTCCCACTCGCTTACAGTTGGCGGCATATTGTCGCCGCATGCCGAGGAGAATCCCTACTGGCACAATGCCAATCATGTGCTGGTGCCCTACTGCAGCAGCGACTCCTGGTCGGGCACACGCACCGAGCCGGACACACGCGATCGCGAGAACAGCTGGCGCTTCATGGGCGCCTTGATACTGCGCCAGGTGATTGCCGATCTGATCCCGCTGGGCCTGGGTCGCGTAGCCGGCGGCGAGCTGCTGCTGGTGGGCTCCTCGGCCGGTGGCTTGGGAGTCATGCTCAATCTGGATCGTGTGCGCGACTTCCTGGTCAACGAACGCAAGCTGCAGGTGACGGTGCGTGGCGTCAGCGATTCGGGTTGGTTCCTGGACCGCGAGCCGTACACTCCATCAGCGGTGGCATCCAGCGAGGCGGTGCGTCAGGGCTGGAAGCTGTGGCAGGGTCTGCTGCCCGAGGACTGTGTCAAGGCGCATCCCACGGAGCCCTGGCGCTGCTACTTCGGCTATCGACTGTATCCTACGCTAAAAAGTGAGTTGTGAAAATGCATTTCCCTGTGTGAAGCTGCTAACTAACCGATCCCCTCCAGCTCCACTGTTTGTGTTCCAGTGGCTCTTTGATGAGGCCCAAATGCGTGCCGACAATGTGGGCGCGCCCGTTACGCCCCAGCAATGGAATTATATACACGAAATGGGCGGCGCGCTGCGCTCCTCGCTGGACAATGTGAGCGCCGTGTTTGCGCCCAGCTGCATTGGGCATGCGGTGCTCTCCAAGCGCGACTGGGTGAACATCAAGATCGACGACATCTCGCTGCCCTCGGCGCTGCGCTGCTGGGAGCACTCGACGCGGCAGCGACGCAAGCGTCACGATAAGCTGAAGCGCTCCACGGAGGCAACGACGACGGCGCTGCAGGAGCAGCAGCTGCTGCCACATCCCAATGCCAACAACCAAAGACATCAGCGCCATCGCCAGCGGGCACAGAAGCTGAACAATGTGGCGCAGGCGCAGCCGCAGCGCAAACGCAACCATCTGAGCAAGGAGCAGCGCGAGGAGCGCAAGCGTCGCCGTCAAGAGCGACAGCGGCGCAAGCAGCGACGTCGCCAGCAACAGCAGCAGCGCAAACGTGAAAACGAGGCGGCCGCCAACAGCAGCAAAAGCAACAACAACAACAACGAGCAGCGCAAGCAGCGACGCCGCCAACAGCTGACCCCGGAGCAGCAGCTGCAGCGCAAGCAGCAACGCCAGCAGCGACGCAAGCTGCAGCAGCAGCAGCAGCAACCGGAGCTGCAACAGGAGCAACAGCCGAGCGAGCCGCAAAAGCATCGCGCCTCGAACAGCGCATCCAAGCCGAAGCCGAATCCGCTGCGGCAGCGGGTGCCGCGCGTGCCGGAAAAGTGCGGCCTGCGTCTGCTGGAGCGTTGCAGCTGGCCGCAGTGCAACCACTCGTGCCCCACGCTGACTAATCCGCTGACCGGCGAGGAGATGCGCTTCCTCGAGCTGCTCACCTCCTTCGGCCTGGACATCGAGGCCGTCGCCGCCGCCCTCGGCGTCGATATGCACACCCTGAACAACATGGAGCGCACCGAGCTGGTCAATCTGCTGACGCAGCAGGTGAGCTGAAACGGTAGACCTGAGTTGAGCTAGAAATACTGTAAATAGTTGGCCTGTATATAGATATAGCCATAGACTGTATAGCCGACCCTCACATTGTACATACATGCATATAAACGTATATATATACATATTTATATATATATTATCGGAGCTATTCCAATTCCTAAATCAAGCAAAAGACATGCGCATAGTACCCAGTTATTAAGCAGAATTTATTTATATATATAAACACACACTCACACACACACACATGCACACACTCATACGCATACACACATACTCGTATTCGTATTTATTCATTCGCATTCATTTCTGCGCAACGAGAAACTAACACAAATGCAACCACAAGACTGTTTTTTATGTTTTCTATATACATATATAGTATATATATAAATATATTTTTTTTTGTAATTAACTAAATACTTAAAAGCCTAAAATACATAATTTATTTATAATTAGATCGTTAAGCTTAAGACAGGAGCTGTTTTGCAGAGCGTTTACGCGGAGTCTAGACTTTTTCAATTGCCCGAATGCCAAGTTTGATGTTTGTTTGTTTGTTTTTAATGCAAATATATAAATTATTAATAACAAGTTACAAATTACAAATTACAAATTACAAATTACAAATTACAAATTACAAATTACAAATTACAAATTACCTACCTCAAGCAAAACGATGAGAAATTATTAAACAGCTGCCTTGAATAGCATATTGCATTTTGTACCTGTGCAAATATAAATCAAATATCAAATACTTAACATTATTTATTTATGTAATTTAGCAACAATTTTTGTTGTTGTCGTAGTTATGTTAAATGCACGCATTCCGTTCAAAATAATAATTGTACTTAAAAAAAATTTGCAACAAATTCAATTCAATTGCAATTTACGCAATTTACTGGCAAACCGAACAACTCGAATATTATTATTATTATTATTATTATTATTATTATTATTATTTAAACTTTAGTTGAATAAATGTAATCAAATATTAGTAAGTACAATTAGCAATTAGCCTGTACAGAACCGGTTAAAGTTTAGTCTAAGAATTGTTGTGCTTAAAATATGCCTAAGTTCGATTTTAAAAACAAACGAAAAAAAACCGAGGAAAAATGATGAAGAAAAGTCAAGATCGGAAATTGCATTGTTACAATTTCCAGCAAGAGAAGGAAAACCAAGAAAAATCAAGAAAACCTATTTGGAAAAAATCAACACCACCAACAAATAAATACGAAAATATTTTTATTTACATTTTTCTTAGCAAGTAAATTGTTTTTAATATATTTCGAATTCAGTTCGCATTCGAAATTATTTTTGAACATGAACCGAAACTAGCTCATGAACCGAACGTAAAGTGCATTTTTAATTCGAATTCATTTTGCATTCGAAATTTGAAATTATTTTTGAACATGAACCGAACCTTAACGAACTGAAACTTCATTAAGTGAACGTAATATAAATTTTTAAATTTGTTATGTTTTTAATATTTCTAATTCAGTTTGCATTCGAAATTATTATTGAGCATGAACCGAAACCTGAACGTAAACTAGTTCATGAACTAAACTTAAATTCAATTAAAAAATGTTTTTGTTTTTATTGTTCGAAATTAATTCGCATTCGAAATTATTTTAGAACATTAACCGAAACTTAAAGCGAACTAGTTCATGAACCGAACGTAAAGTCAAGTTTAGTTTAAATATTAGAGAACATTTGCCCGTCTTGACATTAGACAAGCTCTCGCCGAGCAGCTCGTCATTCATTGCACTTAATTGAATGCGGCAAGTGCCACAGCCCCGGGCTAAGCTCACGAAAGTCGAGATTCCGAGAATTCGCTTCGCTGGGGCATTGTGGGCGCAATTCATGTGGTGCGGCGGTGCAAATTGAGCCACAAAGGCAGCAACAAATTTGTGGCTCGTTTCAATTGAGCGCCAGATGTCGAGCAATCAGCACGCCAACGTTGAGAGGAGAAAATTAAGTGTCAGCTTGATGGGAGGAATGTGGAAAATTGTTTTATTTTTGCTGCACTGCCACCTGCTGGTGGCACCGCTCGCAGGTGAGTGGCCCGGCCTGGGGCATCCAGGTATGCTGATCGTTCGTTATGCTAATTCAGCTGCGCAGCCAGCTGTCCCATATATTTGACCATTTCGCTGGCGGACAAAACGCTGACCGAGGCCTGCCTGGAGGTCAACTGGGGACCCGACTGCTTTGCGCCGCCCGAATGGGTGGGCATCTATCGGCAGGATCCGTCTGTGTCGAACTTTCAGCCGGAGCTGCGCATCGACGGCATACGCAATCGGACGGGCAAGCGACAGACGCCCATTAAGCTGGGCAAGCTGCACTTTCCGGGCGGCTGGAATCGGCCCGTCGATGAGCAGAAAACCGCGACCAAGTATCCAAAGGGCAAGTGCCTGCCGTACTATGTGGCCAGCTACAATGGCACCGAGCTGCTGACCATTGACTGCCTGAAGATTCAGCCCAATTGGCTGGCCCATCTCAAGGATGCGGTCAATATGCCGCTGAAGAGTCTCTTTCTGCCGGGCACACACGCCTCCGGCGCCTACATAACCAACTACAGCAAGACCAAGTCGCTGCTGGTCAAGGATTATCTCGTGGCACAGCACTTCGAGGTTTGGTCGCAGCTGGTCTTTGGCATACGCTACTTGGATCTGAGCGTGGGGTAAGCTTGGAGTGTGAGATATGCTCCCAGCATATGAAACTCTATGGAAGTGCAATTGCAGCTATCGCAACGTGGACAGCAACAGCGAAGCGGACAACTTTTGGGTGGCTAACGAGAACATGTTCATAAATCACCTGATCGATGTCCTTCGCGATGTGCGCCGCTTTGTCCAGCTCTCGAACGAGGTGGTCGTGCTGGACTTTAGCTCGTTTCCCATTGGCTTCTACAAGCATCCGGAGATCTACAGCAGCCTCTACCATCTCATACGCCAGGAGCTGGGCGAAGTGGTCTTCGAGCGGAATGTCAGCATCAATGAGCACTGCGCGGATCGCAGCTTTGATGATATGCGCAATGCGGGGCGGCAGGTGCTGCTGCTGTTTCCCACACAGGAGCTGCCCCATCCGGAGAACGGTAAATAGACACATTTAATATATCTTACAAATAGTTAACACGGTCTCTTTGCAGAATCGGTGCTGCTGTGCACGCCCTGGCAGCGCTTCAGCACCAGCTACATGAACATCTCCCAGACACTGGACTACATGCGTCTGCTGTTCAGCAGGAAGCCGGAGTCGCCCGTGCTGGGCGATGGTTGGATCTTTCATGGCGTGAGCAGCATCGAACAGGCGCTCAATACGCACAATCTGCAAACGGCCAAGGAGCGCGCCGCTCTCATCAGTCCAAAGGTAATTCAATGGCTAAACGGCCCGTGGGGCCTCAATGCCAATGTCGTGGCCATTGACTTCTTCAGCAATACCAACCTGGTCGATGTGGCCATCCAAATAAATACACACAAGGCCTTCTTGGCGGTCAATGACAAGTATGTCAATATGGAAATACTAACTCCACGGTAAACCAATATATATATATAATTATAGATATCCTTTAAATATTAATAGAAATTTTTTAAAAACATTCGTAGCGGTGGCAACAAATACGGCGCACAAATTTACATATAGCTGGCAACGCGTTGCGTTTAGCCATTGCACACACCAAGCAGTTGTACAAGCAGTGTGATGTCAAGCAGTTGTATTAGTGTTAAAATAAAGCAGTTCACGCATTGTGGAAAAATAGTGTTAAAATAAAGCAGTTCACGCATTGTGGAAAAACGTGCTCAGAAAAGTAAGTGGAAGATAGTGGAAGTTTGATAGTTTTCCAACATTAGTTATAAACATGACAAATACAAGTACCAGGAACCATTCATACCCTGAACCCAGTGAAAATGGGTAAATGGGGTATATTGGTTTTGTGAAAATTTAGGTAACAAGGAGAAGGAAGCGTCTCCGATCCCATAAAGTATATACATATGTCCTTGATTAGCATCAATAGCCGAGTCGATATAGTCCGTTGGTTTGTCCGTCCGTCCGCGTGTTTATCCGTCTGTCCGTCCGTCCGTTTGCGCGTCTGTCGTATGTATGAACACGTCGTTCTCAGAACCAATAAAAGCCAGAGAAGGAAATTTTGAACGCAGATCTCCAAGTGCCTGCATAGTACGAGTTTGTTTCTATTAATTTATGATCGATAAAATTCTATATTGAAATTCTGTTTTTCAGGTTTTAACAGCTAGAGTCACCAAATTTGACACATAGCTTCTAGATTAGTACATCCAGATCAAGTATCTTTCATTTTTGGTGTTTTTAGAAGTAGGTTCAGGGTATCCCCTAGTTGAGCACTCCCGACTGGTGCACTCCCACTTGTTATTGCAGAATTGCACATCTTAAAAGCTTCTGATTAAATTGAAATCCATGAAATCATCTTAAAGGTATGTAAAGGTAAAGCTATGCAATTAAGCTATTAAGCAGCGAGCTTTCGATTGCGCAATTTCTGTTTACTCAATAAACTAAAAAAAGACACGACAACGGCGCTAGACACCAAATTCGTAGAAATTGAGGTGAATTCTTAACTATTTTCCACTTAAAATTGATAAAGGCAATGCTTCATTATATTTCTTAGAAACACATAAAGGCGTTTTGTAATAAGAAAATGCCACAAAGTTTTATTTTAAGAGATCGATCAAGAAAAACATAAATAAATGCGACAAGTCCTAAAAATATCCCTTAAAAGGGACATTTGCGGCAGCTGCTCAAAAGTGATGCCCAGCTGTGGAAAATAATGCTAAAAGGGCATCACTGGAAAATATGTATTTTTATATATACATATTATATTCACAATAAAGCATCTACAGCTGTTTATACAAATATTTTCACGTATACGTAATTCGTCACCCGAATCTCATTTGCGTGACAATAAAAAAACGCGCTAAATATAGCGAATGCATTCGAGAGGCCATTAATATTCGATCACGAAATATGAAAACAATAAAAGATAGATTTAGTTTGGATGAACATATGGACATAAAACTTGGTCTACAAGCTTACACTGCTAAAAAAAACTGGCTGCGAATGCTTTATTTTTTTTATATTTCTTTAATCGCATCTATTATATCTGAATTAAAGAACTTTTGAATAATCAAAACTTCAAGTAGCGACCTTCAGTTTGGCATGTGCAGCCCCCAGATACTCGTTTAATTGTTAATTAAAAGCGACACACAGACTAAGGTCAACAATGTGTTTATATAATAAAAGCAAAAGTGGAACATTGATTAACATATACACATATAATCAAGGCGCCGCATCGATTGATTGCTTCTCACCTGCTTTTGGATTCTTTCTCTTTAAACATTGCCACAGGCAAATAATACTAGAACCAGTCACCAAATCCATTTAAAAGCATTGAGTCATCCGATTCGATTATTAATTGCTGATACAACCCACGCGCAATGTGCCATGATGCAACTTCTAGGATGACAAACGAGCTGCCATTGCTCAAGTGCCCAGCTATTATAGCGCAACAGTTGGGTTAGCAACAGACAACTAACTTGGACAAGACCCGCAACCGGATCTGGCTAAATATGAATGCAGCCAACTAATTGAAATGCGCTGCAAATTGATGTCTATGATGTGGAAAATGTTCAGATTCTTACTCGAAATGCCAAAACACTTTTCGCCCGACAACATTCAACTGCAATGCACTTGCATCGCTTGCTGCGGTTGAATGAACTTTGCATTTGGGGCGCGTGCAGTGATTAAACACGGCCAGCTGATAACAGCTTACACAGATCCCTGGCCGCTTGCTAATTGAGAAACGTCGGTTGCTTTGTTAACTGAATAAACGCAATAAGCCAGTTGCAACTCGCTTTATATCTTACTCACTTTGTTGGTAATTGGTTAAGAAAGGAAGCGAATGATTTGATTGGTCGCTGCACGGTTCGAACCAGCACCTTTCCAGCTGCGGCTCGTGTGTCATTTCTTTTCAAAGTTTTTTACAACTCAGTTTTATATTTACAGTCGCCCGTTATTCTGAGAATATTGCAAGCTCTCAATATTTTCACAAACAAAATGCGGGCTAGATTAGAAATTTAGCCGAAAATTGTACATCTAGCAAATATTGCTAGACGCGCGCAATGATTGGGCTACATATTCTTTGAACCTTGCCACAGGTTCATTATTAAAATTTTTATTTTAAACCTTACCATTTTATGGCCACACTGCGTCAATAGCTAGCGGTAAACATAACGACTTTTAAAAATAAAAAATACCATTTTTAGAATTGATCGGATAAAATAAAGTTGATGTGTGGCTAAAAACAGTGTTATGAGTAGACGAACCGCGGGGAACTCCCGGGCGATGTTATCGAAAGCTTAGCCAATGCATCTGTTAAATCTTGAAGCTGGACAACTCACATCTATCTATCCTCAGATCTAGATTTCTACCAATACTAAAGTGATACGCGTCAGTGTTATAGGTAGGCAAACTGAGGAGATAGAACCTCCAGCCAAGGCTAGGGAATAACTTAGTATATATTAAATCTTGAGCCTGGGCAACTCACATCTAACTCTCCTCGGATCCAGATTTCTTTGGCAGCCAATACTCAAGTGTTATAAGTAGGCCAATTGCAGGGTTCGGACCCCCGGGAAGGTCTATCGAATAGCTTAGCCAATGCATGTTTTAAATCTCTCCTCGGTTCCAGTCTCTCTTCTATGCCAGTCAATTCTCGCGTAATACGAATCTGATCTATATGTTAGTCTGTGGGCAGACAGGGCCTGTTAGACGCCTCCACGAATTCCCAGCCAGTCTTGCGATAGCCATGCCCAGGCTGTGGCCATGTGGGCGGCCCTGTTGCCGTGGCGCGTCGGCGCCTTTGTTGGGTTTGCTTTTTTTTTTCTTTTTTCTCTAATTGAGTCCGTGCCGGCCAAAGCGAGCGCAACGTAAATAAAAACAACGGGTTTTGTTTTGTTTCCAGCTGAAGTATAGGTTATTTGTTTTAATATACATAAATATTGTGTTTTATCATAGAAATTATAATATTAATAGGGGGGAGGGGGGATGGGAGACAATCAAACGCAGAGTGTGCTTTTTTTTCAGATCTGCATTTATTACGTGGGATGTTATATTATAAAATTTAATTTTATATATTATACTTGAATGTACAACTAGTATATGTGAACGCACTGTTACTTAAAGCATAACGGATATCCAAGTGTATTAATTATGTTTTTTATTTTATATTTATATATATATATATATCTAACTTTACATTTTGTATGCGCGCGTGCGTGTTGTGTTTGTTGTGCAACGGCCAGCTAAATTGGGGCTGGCAATCCAGCTGGCCGTTACACACTTTTGGGCGTGGGTGTTCGTATATTACAGCGGCCAGGATTGGCCGCGCCGGTGTTCGTGTGGCTTGGACGCGCAGTGGTTAGGATTAAGACAATGCCATTTAAGAAAAATATACACGCATAACATCGGTGAAGGATTTTCGGCAGAGCGGGCACCTGGTTACGGATGAGGCGCACTTGGCGCATGCCACCACATGGCCGCAGGGCAGAAATGCCGTATTGTACTCGGCCGCATAGCAGATCTTGCAGAGCTTCTCTTCGGGCACGGTCACGCCGCCGGCTGCAGTCGCCAGGGCGGCACCTTCTGGGCAGCTCTGTGCCAGAATCTTGTCGAGGATGCGTGCGGCAGACGTGGGCGCCACATCGTCGCCACCTGCAGCGGCGGCAGCGACTGCTGCTGTACTTGCAGAAGGAGCAGCCAGAGCATCTGCAGCCGGAGCACTGCTCAGTGAATCTACGCTTGGGTTTGAACTGTGGCTCGACGGCGGCGACGGCTGCTGCTGCTGCTTTTCGTCGTCTGCTGGCCCTGCTGCTGCTGGCTTGGCGTCCTGCGCTTTCGCTGCAACCGCATCGATGTAGAGCCGACCCTTGATGAGCTTGACGAAGCGGCACTGGCTCAGCCAGAGCGCATGCTGCTCCCAGGGCTCGTCGTTGTCGTCCCAGTCCTTGAGTCCGCCGCCGCAGCTGAAGCAGCGCACGCGATCGCCGACGCCAGTATAAAAGAAACCCGCCTCGGCGAGCTGCTGTGGCTTCTGCTTCATGTTGCGCGGCCAATCCTCGAAGGTGCGCAGGCGCGCCGACTCGATGGCATATTCTGGATACTCGGGAAAATAATTGCCACCATTGCCGTTGCCTGCTGGCCGGCTGCACGGCTCCTGCATGCCCATGGGTGAGCCGACACCGCCGAGTCGCAGCGGCGGCGACGTATTCACGCCCGTCGACTGTATCGACTGCCGGCCCTCGGAGTAGGCGTTCTCGCGCACCTCCAAGCCGGATACATCGTTGGATCCGCACACATCATAGCTGACGGGCGGCAAGATACGCTCCAGGGCGTCCGCGTTAATGGGCACATTGTTGGTGTTGCGGCGTCGCAGCAGCGGGCAGTTGGGCGACCAGCGCAGATGCTCCTGGACGGGATGATCTTCGCGCTCCCAGCGACCGATTTCGACCTCACAGAAAAAGCATTTGACCTTGTCTTCCTCGTTTGTAAAGAACATGCCCGTCTGTGCCAATGCGTGCTTATCTAGCCAGGACAAGGGCCAGTTATCGAATGTCCTTAAGCGCTCATCCTCCCGATTATATTTCTCATTCATTCTGTTAACGAACGCCTTCAACAGCT